ATCATCTTTAAATAAAGAGTACAAAGTAACCTCAAAGTAAGAGCCTAATCCTGGGATTCTGAAGACTTTTCAAGCTTTGCTCTCATGATTTATTAATTTAATTCCTGCTCTTAGATAATAGCTATCTTGTGGTGAATAAAATTTATATTTTAAAAAAATCAGTCAGTGGACTGGGGCGTAGTATTATATCTATTAAAGGCTGTGGAAGGATTTCAATATATTTATTTGTACCAAGTCTGTAGGAGAATTTCCACTGCCGTCTGTAACTAAAATTACTGAAGCAAATTGGACTGTATTAAGGAGTGGCAGGCACTTCTCCATCCTGTCCCTTTTTTTGCATAAACAGGTTGCAACTGGGAGACGGGAACCATCACCGTTTCCATTCAAATGGCTTAATTTTAGCATTCTAAATTTTATATTGTGGACTTGCTCTTCTCTAAATTATAGACACCTTTCCTGTAGCTTTCCCACTCGACGTGAAGGATCTCAATTAAAATCTGAACTACTTTTTTTACCAAGTGTCAGAATCAGCATTCAGTTCAGATATCACAGCTCCATCCACTCCATAAACCTGAATCTACCCCTGGTCTGGTGTGAAGTTTTCATTTCCCAAATCCATTAACACAAACTTCATGAGAGAGTTAGAGAGAGAGAGAGGCCAATTTAGTGTAAAGTATGACAGTTCTGTCCCCAGATTTCTTAAACTCTTTTTACAGCAAATCCTGACGGCAAGGTGAGCGAGGTCACTGCCAATAATCTGTCTTACATTCAAGCCCAAATTCCAGTAGATGAGAATAAAGTGTCTAATTCCAACACCTCTCTCAGTCCCTAAAATCTTGTTACTGGGAAACTGTGAATCATCCTTTTCCAAGTCGAGGCAGCGGATACAATCCTCTTCCTTGTAACATCACACTGATGAGAGATTCTACTTGGTGCTTCATACTGAATTTTATTTAACTCTTCCACTTCATAATTACATTAGAGGTAGTATTAGTTAATGTTTGATGCTCTCAATGGACCAGGTTACATTGTCCCCAGTGCTCACAATACATTGTCCAGCAACTGTGCTACAGTAAGTGAGGAACTTAATTTTTGTACATAAGGGTCAGTTCTAGGCAACAGCAATATCTGCAAGATATGATGGACATCATTCCTGATTTCTCATTATAGGCATCAAATATTCAATTAGATTATCATTTTCAAGGGGGTTCGTTATGTAGGGCATTCAGGGTTAATAATCATTGCATTTGATGCAGTGCCTTATCACTTCGTTGATACGTTTCAAAGTGCTTCACAGGATACACTGTAAAGTGTAGTGACTGTTTTGTAGGCAAACTCCTTAGGAAGCCTCCCCTGAAGTGGCAGCTTGCATTCCATCCAAATAATACACAGGAGTGACGACAGCCATCCATGGGGCTCATGCATCTCAACAATATTTCATTCCATCTCAACAACTTGTTGAAGAAAATAAACAGAAAGCTAGTTTCATTTGACACATCAGAAACCAATTGTGGAAATGACAAAGCGCCGTGAGGGGAGTTCAGTGGGAAAATGTTGCCTTGGAGACAGTAGATCGTAGGATCCAGCCATCCTTTTGTGGAGTCCTGTAGCTCAGTGGTTAGAGCACTCGCTTTGCAAGCGAGAGACCTGAGTTCAATTCCAGGCAGAGGGCGAAACCTCGGGCAAGTTTCCTTACTCCACACAGAGCCTAATAATAATCCCTCAAAAAAAACAATAATAAATTGTTCTTTTTCAATCTACGACTGTTTGTGGGACATTGCTGTGCGCAATTGCCTGCCTCGTTCGCCCACAAATATACAGTCAATTCACTTTACAGTGTGTTCTGTGAAGCACTTTGGGACGTCCTCTTGACGTGAAAAGCGCTATATCCAATGCAAGGATTATTATTATTATATTATTATTATTACTATCCTACGGTCTAATGTTTGAAACTCTACTTTACAGTTCATCTCATATTAATCTACACGCACTTTCAGCAATAAGACAATGTGCATCTTGTAACCTAACAAGCATACACAGGATATTTTAATTATTTAATATTTTAGCATTTTTTTAAAACTCCAAATCATAATTCCCTTTTTAAATAAATCACTAGTCCTAGGTTCTCCCGACGTCCTCCCGACGTGAAAGGCGCTCAATAAATGGAATCTTGTTGTTGTTGCAGGTTCTGCTAGCATTGTATATAATATATAATGTGTGCGTGTGTCTATACATATATAGGTCTATTTATATATACAGAACTTTAAGGGAAATATTTTCTTATTTCCTTTCAAGTGCCGCAAATCATTTCATTTCAAACTATTGTTGGCTTCTGGGAATTGTTGAGATTTTGTTGAACGTGGAAGTGGGTATATAAATCTACGCAGTTGCTGTACTCAGAGAAGACAGAAACTGAGCACAGCAGCTCAGCAGGAGAGAGTGCTCGACTCAGACCATCCCCACTGCATTACTACACAGCGATATTCTTCATTAGTGGTATCGCGTGGAGAGAGAAAAAAAATGTGATTTGCTGCTTTCAAGTAATAAATCGTGTACGAAAAAATAATATATTTAACAGACAGAACTGATTTCAAACATTTGCTTTCATTTTGGGAGCACAAGTGTTTTTCATTTTTGTTTACCAAGACTTTAAATTGTGTGGTTTGGGCAATTCTGCAGATAGCCGAGTGTACAGGAGTCTTTCGCTTTAGGCGAACTTTTATATGCAAATACCTTTAGGCATTATCTGCAGCATATGTTTAATCAGGGAGCAGATACCGTGCGCCAAAATATTTCATTTGTGTTACTCAAACAAGTGCAGTAACTCTCGATATCAACAGCTATTATTAAAGTACAATCTGTCTCTGCCCTGCCTGATTCCATCTCCTCCCCACCAAAGACTTCAAAGCAACTTCAACATGAGGATCTATTGCCCCACAGCCTAATAGTCAACATGTAAATCTATACATTAGAATTACTTGCAGGTTTTTTCTCTCTCATGGATTTCTAACCAAGTTGTTATGAGCAAATTTCTCTGTAAAAATGAAGACAAGAGTAACAATGTTTATACACAGTGGCTGTAGATTTGTGTAATGAAATAATGAGAAATGTGACTCTACTGGAACCTAAATCCTATTTCCTATTTAATAGATTAAACCAGAACCACTAACAAGGCGGCTGTTTGCTCCTTTCACTGACAAACCAAGCAGTGAGTGAGGCTTTGTGCTAATCATCATTTTGCTGTCTGTTTTTCGGTAGATTTCACAACTGAATGCACAAATGACCATTAAATGACTGATGAACAGCTGATTGAGCGTCCCACACAGTCCCACACAGCTAAATGCCAAACCCCTCATGGTTTTCAGAACTCTGTTTTGGTCATGGCGGGTGTCTGACGCATGGGGAAACCCATCACCAAGCTAAAGAGTCTCTGAACCAAACACAGAGTTCCACATACATACATCAATCACCTACATGTGGAAATTCCCTTGTTTGGAATGCAATGTGAAACTTTCTCTCCTTGGAGGATTGCACCCTGTTTACCTATTTCCAGAGAGTATCAGGCGCAAGTTGGCAAGAGCCGAGTAATCCTTTCCAAAACATAAAATAAATAATAAGAATTTGGTCAATCCACGACTGTTTGTGGGACTCTGCTGTGCACAATTGGCTGCTGCTTTTCACCCACAAAATTTACAGTCAGTTCACTTTACAATATTCTGTGAAGCGCTTTGAGACATCTCAAAGATGTGATAAAGCGCTATATCAAATGTTAGGATTATTATTATTATTATGGTATTGGTTGGGATAACCGCTGGAGTTTAGCCAGCTTTGCATAATCTTTACAGCTCAATGTCGATGACAAGATGGGAGACACCTTTCCCGCTCTCTCCAACATCGGTTCCAACTCCATTAACCCCCCCCAACCTGCTCACTCAGCCAATCAATAGCCTCTGTGCTCTGCCCGGGAATGCTCCTAACAAACTGTTACTGGAAAGGTGCGATGGGGGGTTGGGGGGAGGAGAGGGAAAGCACATTCAATACCCAGCACTACTAACCCCTATGTATAAAGCCAAGAAACTCTCCTCCTAATCAACATCTTATAATCGCTATTAATCTCCCCTATTAAAACCTATGATTTGAGGCTTGCCCTGAACACCAATAACGTTACAGGAGCATTAGTAAGCATGCGCACAGAGACCTGGAGACGTGTATGTGGGTCTGACTGGCTGCGGACTCAGTGACAAACGTGCTCAGCCAGCGGTGAGGGTTCCTGCCTTGGGGGCGTTGTGTTCTCATTACCCTGTTAGCTCCACATCATAACCACCACCACCACCAGCCTGCTGACATCTGTGTGAGCCACTCACATGGTAATATTACACCAGCATTTTGTAAAAAGATGATTATGATATACTTTCTAGGCAGCAAAACATTTCTCGCTTATTAAAATTCATCCCACAGTGACACGAGGGAGCCTATGTTACTGGTAAGATAGCAATAGCAGCAATGCAATAGAGCTCCAAATAACTACCCCAAGGTTTTTTTTGTTTCAATATTCTGTAGAGACAGAAAACTTTCAAGCTGCCACTGTGTTTCGAACGCAGCATCTTTGTCAAGGTGTCAGAGTGCCGTTAATGCATGATTCACAACTTCCAGGCAGGAAGCGGTTATGGGGATGGAAATATTGCAGAAAGGAATAATATTTGGTGTAATGTTTCGTACAGATACATTTTGTGCATTTCTGAATGCACAGAGCGGGCAGGAATTCAGCTGCAATGAAGTTACTCATCTCTGCACACAAAGGGCTCGGGATTTCGACTGGCAAACACAACGAACGTACACAGCCATCAAAGCCTGTCAGGTTCAATGTTGCAATTGTCAGGTTGGAGGTACCTGAAACAAGGCACTGAGAATATCTGTGCTCAGTCTCAAAGCTTCAAGAGTAAATGTCACTGACTGGCAGTGCTCTCCATTACAAATGTGACAATGCGTTAGCTACTTACATTTTCAGGTATACTGGGAAGCTCTCGGTTGTCAGGCGTCGTAAAGTACGAATGCTGCCAAAAAGAAAGACATTGAGGATTAGTTTTCAAAAATGAAATGGTAAGAGATTTAAAGTACAGAATATACGGAAGATAAGGAATGATTGGCTGCTACCCCAACTGAAGGGCACTATACGAGTGCAAGTTATTGTTTCTGAGGATGATTGGCTATGGGATGCCATTAGAGTCCCCACAAGTTAGCTTTGAATATAAATATCATACCATGTTGTATTAATTCATTGTTCTGTTGTTAACGTGTTTAAAATGTTTTTAATATATTTTCACTATTTGTGACTTGGAGCAGTTTAACTCTTCCCAGTATGCCAAATGAAAGTCTTTCATCTCTCTCCAGAGATAACATCTTGTTTTGCCTACAAAATATACAGTCAATTCACTTTACAGTGTATTCTGTGAAGCACTTCGAAACATCTCGAAGATGTGATAAGGCGCAAATGCAAAGATTATTATTATTAATAACTGAAAGTCCCTTAAAGAAGGATTAAGTACTACAAGCCACTCTCACGTATATAACAGCCAGTCTTCCATATCATGTATGCAGAATATTTCAAAACCAATGTAACCACTGTGAATGAACATTTGTGATATAGAAACAATGGCCAGCTATTGTTCCACACATTGTAAAACAACTGATTTTCACTTGTACGGTTTCCAATCTAACCACAATCGAGAGATAATGACAAACATTACAATCACATTAATACACATATGGTGTAAGCTCCTCCAATGGCTCAGTGAGTAATTCCATTTTATGCTGTGGCACGGACCCAAAAAAGTCAGGGAGGTCCCAATTCAATTCCTTATATGGGGGTTTGTTATGCTGGAATCTCTGGGCTTGGGGAGGCTGGGCTTGGGGAGCCTCCTATGATCCTATCTAGTGACAATTACTGGAGTAGAATGGGATAAGACAGGATCAGTCTCATGTGATAGCCACCGCCATCAAATAACCTGTCAACGCAGACTGACAAGACATGCACAAAGAACGGCCATCCCTCCAGCACTCCTGAACACCAGAGGAAATCACAACCTTCAGCAAAAAGGTACAGTAGACAGTTGATCATCTGCATGAGTTCGGACTGACCAACACTGCTGGCTGATATTTGGATTTTAAAATTTAAAAAAATATTTATTAGCGTTACTTCAAAACCAAAGTGCAATTGTTTACAATACATCAATAATTGATCATTACAGAATTGGGGTATGACTGTTTCTTTGACCTGAAGTAACAGATTCTCTTGCTGGTGAGTTAGGAATGTAGGGGAGCTTTAGTGCCACTAGGAACAAGAACGAGACAATCCAAACTCAATTCACTCCATCCTCACCAGCCATTCAAGGTTTGAGGCTTCCATCCATAATAACTGGTTTGAAACCAGCCTCATGAAATGAAATCATCACCACCCAGCTAATAACATTAGTTTTAAAACTTTGTTTTTATTATTTTTTGTTTCTCTCCCTCTTTTCTTGTTCAGCTGACTAGCTCCATCGGCTGCGCTGCACTGCTCAGCACTCCCAAAGCAACTGAAGAGCTGAAGGAAACAAAGCCATCCATAAGCTGTTCTTTGATATCCTTTCCTGCTCTGTTGCCCATGAAATGTTCAAGCTGAGGGCAGACTGGAAGCATTCTTTTCAACCATGAGTATGGAATGCCTGAAATGAGCCGAACTATCCCATCAGGCCACAGTGCTTCCCAGACAACCTGCCCCTTGGGTCAGACGAGCATGCTGTTCCCACAAAAGCCCACTTGGTTGAAGTAGATCTTCTCCACAGCCAGCCAGTGACCTGGCAAGCACAAACCACTCCTACCTGTCGCTTAACATTACACGCTGCAAAGCACAAAACAGGGCAGGGGTGGGGGCAAGAATTGGGAGAGACAATTAAGTTGTTGAGATACAGGTAACTAGCTGCTTTGTAAGGAGGACACGTCACAGACGACTAGCTGATAGAAGGCAGTTGAACGGCTTTTATAGTCAAACTTTGACAGGGGAAAATCAGAGTGGCCTAATTCTAGAATGACATTTCATGTTATGATTTCAAAATGTCTGATCAACACAATTCTGCGAAGATTTCTCTCCAGTCCCTCTCAAACACAGTGGCTCAGCAACCACACACAGCGAACCTTGTGCAGTAATATACTTGTACTTGGGTGTGTTTGGCTCTGGAAGTGACAGGCCATTTCTCTGTCTGAGGTTTGACAACACACACATCCTGCCCTATGGGTCAGACAAGCATGCTGTTCTATGAAAGCTGCTTGGCTGAAGTTTGTCTTGTCCCCAGCCACCAGCTGAGGATGCAGGGCAAGGTCTCACAATAGCAAGAAAAATAAAAGTTGTTAACGATGCGCACACCTCACCGGATTTACATTAGCAATCCAACTTGTGGTTCACACTACACACCCGCTGGAACTGATTCACCTCCATCTGAACCCCGATCGCATCAATGCCTGGTAATTTACTGTGAAGTACCCATTATTCTCTATTTAATAAGGTGACAAGTAAAGTTTGGCTTAAGCCCTGGCAACATTTAACAGCACTCTCAGCTCCGTAGAAGGTTCCCACCACTGCACTTAATTTTAATTTACGCATTTTAAATTATTTACAAGTTTGAATTGATAGATTTCTAAAACTTTGTTTTGCAGAGAAACTGGCATTAAAATTACAGTGGCCGAATATGCTGAAAAAAATACAACTTTTCCCACAAGAATTTATTCCAAAAAACGTAAAACTTCAGAACCGGGTTTCATAATAGTAACCCTTGCACTTGACAAAGCACCTTATCATCATCTCAAACTGCTTCACAGAATACACTTTAAAATGGATTGACTGTATATTTTGTGGGCAAAACGCGCCAGCCAATTGCACACAGCAACGTCCCACAAACAGTTGTGGATTGATGCCAAAGTATTATTAGGTTTTTTTTGGAGGGATTATTAACCCCGGAAAAGTGATCCGCCAACTGACAAACAACCGGGTTCCTACTTACTGCTAGGTAAACAGAAGCGTGTGGAGTAAGGAAACTGGCCCAACATTTCGACATAGGAATCGAACCCAGGTCCTCTTGCTTGCAAAGTGAGTGCTCTAACCATTATGCTACAGGACTCCACCACATCTTGATCTTTGACCCACCACAGCCATGATATTTTATGCTTAGAATCATGTCTTCAGTACTCACCACACTGAGGTGAACGACCGAGCCTGGCTCAGGGAGTGGAAGATTAAATAATGTCTCCAGCAGTTCCCTCCACGGACCATCCTGAAACATTCCGCAAGAAATACTTTAACAGAAGTTCTTATAAATAACATTAGATACAACAACTTTACATTTATACAGCCATTTCATGTCAGGAGGACATCTCAAAACAACAACAAATTACATTTGTATAGCTCCTTTCACTTCGGGTGGACGTCCCAAGGCGCTGGATAGTGAAGGGTTTGACCCAAGTTGGGGGTTGGAGGCAAGAGAGGTGGAGGGCAAGGGGGTGGGGAGATGACTGCAGGCATGGTCAAAGAGGAGGAACATTAAACTGCATCATATCATTATTGCACAAATATTGTGAATCACTTCCTTTTGTTGAAAATTTTAATTTTTTTTAAACACCAAGATTTTAAAATTAAAAACCAAACACATTGGATATGCTATTCAGGCTGCAATAGTGAACATTTATTTAATTTTTTGATAAAACAATAGAATGATTATATGCACTAAGTAATGAAATGTTGAAACACCACTCTACCTGTCCTTTGGCTGTGTATTCTGCTAAGATGTTCAGAAGCTTGTAGAAAACTTCGAACCAAGGTAAATAGCTAAAAAAACACAAAAAGGTTTAACTTCACTCATTTATTTTTTAACAAGACTGATTCAGTCAGAAAACGGAAATAAATAAAAGTCTTGGAAATAAAAACATGAATGTTTTTGTTGCTCACACACCTCGTCATCTCCGCTCTACACAGTACTCTTCTGAAACACCTTTCAAAATTAGAGACCCTTTGTTATTCCACAGCTCTATCCTCTTCAAAAATAGCCAATGGCCATTGGTGGCTACTGCTATAATCTCCCTACAACGTGACGTTCAATATTAATCTGATACCTAACACTGAGGTACAGATATTCATGTTCGTAAATACGCCCTAACGGCACTTTTCAATAAACTCCTTTTAGAAAGTCTGGCCTCTAAAAACAAAAGAACTCTATTCACACTTTCATTTATAAGACCTGAAAATGTTTTTTAAAAATCTGTTGTGTAAAGTGAATATGCAAACAGTATTATACAGAATTAAGCAACTACACTGAAACTTCACAGAGATATCAAGCCACAGGAAGCACGCTGGAGGCTGTTAGACACACCACAGACTCAGATTACACGCATGTAATTCAGATGACACGCATGTTCAAGAACAAAATACGTAAAAAAACAAAAAGTTCAAGGTTCAAGAACTATAAAGACTGGTTTATGACATCAGACTAGCCTGGAGTATTGCCTTGTGAGGTACTCCAGGCAGCGGGTATTCTCTGTAAGTGCATCTGCTTGAGTACAGAGTCCGCAGACTTTGCTGTAGAGCAAATCTCATTCAGCAAGAAGAATCTTCAAGCACCACTTAGCGTGGCAGCTGCCTGTAAACAATGAGACAGTGCTCTGTGGGTGATCAGGAATTACGTGCACTGTTTAAATAAACTCAGTTATGAAATAATCTCCAAATACATAGTATCTGTGTGTTATCTATTTGCTGAAAAGCCTTTAAATGAAGCAGAAACCCTCCTTGCTTCAATCTCACAATTTAGAGTGTTACAGTGTGTACAATAGCTGAACCTGATCGACGGGGCAGTTTCTCTCGGCAGTTTTCACTTTCTATGCTCCCAAAAAATGGCCCCTTAAGATTAATAAGACTGAGCCACAAGACCAGCCGAGTAAATTGATGCTTAAGCCCGACATCAGACAAAAATCAAACGTTATCTGAATGTGAAAGATGCACAAAAACTGGAAGGCTTCCTCAACATCTTGTGACAAGTATTTATAACCATTAACTTTTCTTTAAATTCTGTAGTTTGGTGAATTTCTTATGTACCACATAAATGTGAGCATCCTCTTGAGAGCCATTTTGTGCTCAGTGCTCAATCTTCACACTGCCCTTATCCCTAAGTCAGGGACTTGTCTGTCTCTCGTCCCCTCATACTGGTATTTCGTCACTGCAGCAATCTCTCTCTCTCTCTCTCTCTCACACACACACACAAATATAACAGGAGAGCGTACTGTGCTGAATCCTTTCATTTACATGCACGGTAACAAAGGCTCACGACTATTTTTCTGCTTTGGACACCAGTTGTTAGCATCAAGCACTTTGCAGGTCAGTTGCCTTGCAAAGCTCACTTCACATTGCCCTAAATCAAGAGCACATGATTTAACCCAGCGAGTGGTGAGCACCCTTACTGCACCAATGTGGATGTTTTAATTTCCCACAACAGACTGTACCTACGGCCTCAATGTATTTGGTGCCAATTTGTGATAAATTCAGCCTAGTTATATGTTGTGGCCAACACTCACTAGCAACTTGGTCGAGACAATCCAAACGCTGTGCGCACCAATGTAAAATGATTGTTTGTGAAAAAACTATGCAAAACAGCAGCAGCAGGAGTTTTGAATCCAACAAAGTGAGGATCTAGGGAGGAGGAAGAATGTGTAGGACGACTTCTGTATCTTAGGAGGAACGAGAGTGAAAATGTCAGGGAAGCAAGCAATCCAATTAAATTGAGGAAAACATTGCAATTTGACTGGCAGATCGAGGCGGTACTCAATGAACCCTACACCTTTGGAAACCTCCTGAAAATCGGTGTAAAAAAACAAGACAAACTTTTCACCAAGTAAGTTGTGAACCTATAATTTTGAAGACACTGATGAAATTGCTGTTCTCACTCAGCTATCTTCTCTTCACAATGAGACGAGTTAATTGTTTCCCAAGACTGAAAGCACTTAAATGAGAGAACCTAGTTTTAACATCTAAAATACTTAGCTTCGCAACTTATACAAAGTAACTATTAATCTAGTGCTCTGATCTTTATATGAAGACTCCTTCTAAATGACTAATTCAATCCATTTACATCTGCTATGCCTGCTTACTGTAATAAAAGCACCACCCTAGTAAACTCCTTCCTGAGTCACAAGGCAATGTAAAACATGACAAATGTGACTAAAAAGGCCTTTTTTCTCTCTCACAGTGATTTAGCTCAAGGCCATTCCAATAAAGCATTTTGTAGTACCTTACACTTTCATCACATAACGTATAAAACAATATTTAACCGGATATTTGACTTTATGGGACCAGAGAGTTCAATAACTAAATTTTTCATTCAAACTGCAGGGAAATTTTAAGGCTGGCTTTTGTCCAGCTGGAACGTGCCGTGAATCAGGTGGTTCTTTTCCACTGGTGGCATCCTACTCTCTCTTCTCATTTTCATCCCCTGTGGGTAGTTTACTCCTGCTACAGCACTGATTGAGTTGCATTCAATGATGGCAACACTACTGTGGGCTGAAAAACAATCTCAGTGTGGGTATCTCTTTAAAGGCTGATGACATCCTCTAACGGGAGGTCAGATTTCACAGCTGAATCTTATCTCGTTACTCAGTCAGAAGGGTTTCCTGTATTGGTTCATTTTTCATTCATTAAAATATGTGGGTTATTTAGATTCGAACCAATAGTGCACAAGGACATCCAATCTACACCCTACATTAATTCTGTCAGTCACCACAGAAAACTCTGATCTGGATTGCCACAAGCAATATACATTAAACAAACAATAGATGTCAGCAATGTGTCTTCAGAATGGGTTCGAGACTGAAATTCAGGGAAAAAACATTATACCATGGGAAGCACTTTTCAACACTACTAACTTTTATACAGAAATATAACTCTCCCAATAGCTTAGAATAGGTCATAGCATCAAACAGATGTCTTTGTGTAACGTTACTACGCATTATTTCAGTCACATAGAAAAGGAGGTGTGAAAAAGATACTAACAGTTATTTTTGTAAATGAATACATTTTAAAAACCCTTTACTTGCTCTGGGATGGGATGGCAACAATGATCCGTGTACACTTGGTAACTTCTATCCAGCTCCTTTTCTAGCTATTAAAATATTGCAAAGTTTTAACGTTTTAAAAATAGTTGGTTGAGTCTTTAACTAAAATAAGGAGAATTGTTTTTACACAGAGTTGTTACGGTCTGGAATGCACTGCCCAAAAGGGTGATGGAAACAGATTTAATAACTTTCAAAAGGGAATTGGATAGGAAGAGGAAAAACCCACAAGGATATGAGGAAAGAGCGGAGGAGTGGGACTGATTGGGTCGCTCTTCCAAAGAGGCACGATGGGCCGAATAGCCTCCTTCTGTGCATTCTATGATTTTATGATCCTGGGAATTGGGTATAGTAAAGCTCACTGTGCAACACATCTGAAAGTCAATGTTGGAAATGTTCATATAATGGTGTAGTTATTAAAAGGAGTGCTCTAAGCTATAGTTCATTCGCTCTACAATATTTATCTTTGCTCATTAACAGAATTTTTCTACTGATACTGCATTGTTCTGGATTGTAAACAAATGTCAACTCTGACGAATTTGTGCCAAGAAGATGTCATTCTTTCACATGTAAAATACTTCCTAAACATTTATGAATGAACAAGGCAAAATAAACCATTTTAATGTCGGAAAACAGGCAATTTCTGTGAAATATGGGAGTGTTTTTAATACATATCATTTTCTGTACAGTTGAAATAATGAGAGGCACTTTATAATACTGGCATTTGGTCATATACACACATACACGTGCACAGTTTTATGTGTTACTCTGAAAGTTCTGTATGTACAAAGCTAGGAAAAACGATAACTGACTGGTGTCAGATGAAGCAAAACTTCACTCCAGTAATTTTCTTCCAATGAAAACCCTTTGTAACTTGACTCTGGTTGCATCCCTCTAAATTTATTAAGGGAAGAACTTGTACAGACAAAATGCAACCTATCCTTAACATATCTTCTGAGTTTCAAATTTATACCCAAAACAGCCTTTACCACATGCAGTTTAAGTAGCACAACTGGTAGCAGTGCACAGGATTTATGAGCAATGACACACACATATTTAATTTGTAACCAAACACTTCCCCTTCCTCTTAGCTCCCCTTAGAACTTTTGATTAACTCGTATTTTTTTTTTAAAAAGTCAAAGGTTAAGAAAAGGAAGGGAAGTGCTCTGTGCTGAAATAGCCCAGAGCACTCACAGAGAGAGAAGCAATGCCACTGACATTAAAACAATCCAAAGAATAAAGGCAACGATTTCAAGTTCACAAGTTCAGGAAAGCAGAATTAGCCATAAAATAATAATCCTTGCATTTGAAATAGCGCCTTATCACAAAGTTGAGATGTCTCAAAGCACTTCACAGCATATATTGTAAAGTGAGTTGACTGTGTATTTTGTGGGCGAAACGCGGCAGCCAATTGCACACCGCAGCGTCCCACAAACAATTATAGATTGAATGACCACACTATTTATTTATTTTTTTGAGAGGGATTATTACACCCTGGAAAGTGATCTACCAATCCACTAACAACCAGGCTAGTACCCGTAAGTACCACCAAAGTCAGGAGTAAAGGGATAAAAAGTGATATGGCACAAGATTTTGTACACTTTGAATGTAACTGACCAGCATGCTGACCACATGCCAATGACATGTGCCTTCCTCAACCTGTGATAACAATTTTATGACAATAGAGGTCATAAGCAGTAAAATGCTGGCTAAGACACCATGATATGCCTGGTT